GTTATTTTCTTTGTATGAAATCCAAGATAGATAAATCTACAGGTAGAGTAACTAGCAGTAGAGTGGGAATGTGCTAAGCTGCCGACTGCAAGGTCAGCAGTTCGAAACCACCTGCTGAAAAAGATGAGGCTTCCTATTCCCATGAGGATTTACAGTCTCGGGAACACACAGGGACAGTTCCACCCGTCCTATAAGGTCGCTCTGAGTCAGAATCAACTCTATGGCAGTGAGTTTTTGTTTTTTTTTGCCGGGTGGGCTATGGCAACGGAGGCTGAGCAGTAATGGAGCTAAAAATAATGGGTCCATGGATGAACACAATGTTGTAAACTTGATTGTGGCAATGACTGCACAACTCTTTTTAATATCTGTAAATCATTAAAGTGCATGGTACATGGATTATATGTCAACCAAAAAAAGACTCTCCTCTTTGTCATGCAGTTTGAGCCTCCAAAGACCTTGTGATTCGTGGCCTGATGCTTCCCACACGGTGCAGCCTGGGCTCTTTACACACAAACCCACACCCACTGCCAGCAGATCGATGTCAAGTCCAGCAACCCCGTAGCACAGAGCAGAACTGACCCCGTGGGTTTCTGAGACGGAAATCTGTCTGAGAGCAGCAAAGACAGGGCCCTCTTTCTTGCACACAGTGAGCTGGTGGGATAGACCTGCTGACCCTGGGATTTGCAGCCCGACACAAAACCCAAACCAGAGAATCTTCTGCCGCTCCTATGTGGTGGAATCTGGTTGGGGAACAAGGAGGGCCCAGGAAGAGGGTGCTGAATTTGAGTTACAGTGCCGAACGGAACAAAACCGAGTTGGAGGAAGCCCAGCAAGGCTGTGCCTTCGAAGAGCCCGGGTGTTGAGATTTCATCTCAGGAACTCTGGACACATTCCCAGGAGGGACCGGTCCCTGGGCCTGCTTCAGAAGAGAGGCAGCAAGGAAAGAGGACGGCCCTCAAAGAGATGGGTGGACACTGTCATTGCAACCATGGGCTCAAATAAGGACAACACCTGCTTGGACAGCTCAGGGCAACACATTCCCTTGGTCTGCACATAGCGCACACGCTGCAACGGATTGGACCCTGCGGTCCAAACACGAGAGGGTCAAACAGGCGACTTTCCTTCAGCAGGTGTTTTATCTCAAAACCCCAGGGGTGGCAGGTTAAGGTCAATTCAGCTTCTCTGTAAACCACACGCAGAAAACACACCACCATTAAAAGGCCAGGCGCACCCCACCCCCACCCTCCCAGTCCCCACTTACGGTTGGTCCTGGCGGGCTCCGTTTGGGCGCTGTCCGCCGACTGGTTGCTGGAGACGGAGGAGACGCTAGCGCTGCGGACGAAGCCTAGCGCTGCCAGCTTGGTGGCCGGGAGACGTGAGTAGCCGGGAGGGCGCAGTCCGGATTTGGGGAGGTTGGATTTGGCAGCGTTGGAAATGGACGTTTTCTTCAGATCTGCTAGAACAAAAGCGAACACACAGGAAACAGAATGATTCTCAAGGCAGGCGAATCCTTGACAGGGGCTTCAAATGTCCCTGGGAAGGGGGGAGGGAAAGATGGTGGGATTTATCTGCAAACTTTCTGGAGCCCGCTTTTTACTGGAACGGCTCGGGCCTGGGGGTGAGTTGAGTTACCAGGTGGGTTGCAAAGTCGGCAGTTCAAAACCACCAGCCTCTTCACGGGACAAAGACGAGGCTTTCTACTCCCATAAACAGGTACAGTCTCAGGAACACACATGGGCAGCTCGATCCTGTCCTGGAGGGTTGCTATGAGCTGGAATCCACACAATGGCCGGGAGGGTGGTTTTGTGGAACCCCCTTCTCCCACACTGCTGCTGGGATAGGGGAGCCCTGAGCCATTCTGACGCAGGGTGAGCCCAGGTGTGCAGACCTTTTGGAAGCAGATCACCAGGCCTTTCTTTCAAGGTACCTCCGGTGGGCTGGCACTTTCGGTCTTCCCGTTAAGAGTCGAGGAGCATGTAACCCTTTGTGTCACCAAGCCCCCTTCCTCTCCCCCAAACAAACTCACTCTCGCCTTGTGGCCCTAGAAGACAGAGTAGAACTGCCCCAAAGCATTTTGGAGGTTGTAAATTACCATGGACAGAGACAGCCTCATCTTTCTCCAAAGGAGCAGTTGGTAGGTTCGAACCCCCTACCTTATAGTTAGCAGCCCAATGCATGATCTGCTCAGAGTATTCATTCTCAGATATAGACAGTATATAGCAAGTGTTAGCACCTCTGTGTAGTTCGAATGTGTTTGGCTGCTAGCCAGAAGGTCTGAGGTTAGAGTTCACCTATCCTCTAGGAGGAAGGGGAGGTGTAGACGGGGGCGGGGGGTGGGGGCGGGGAGGAGGAACAGGTTGGAGCAGATGCCAAGACAGCCGGCAATCTGTCCGTCCCACAGAAGCACACGTGAAGGTCATCCCAGTCACCTTGGGTTGGACCCAGGGCTGAGTTGGACAGAGCACAGACAATGCCCACATCGGGTGTATGGGTGGGCTCTTCCAATTACTGGCAGGGCAGCCTCAGGGCACTTCATGCTTGGAGACTCAGTTCTGTGTTGAGAAAGGGCAGGGAAATCACCGTGTTTGTGATACATCACTCGACATGCAGCCAGTTTCTGTCACAGGTCGCAGTGGGTCTACCCCAAATAAGTGCTGACGTCCTAACCAGTAAATGTGAACCTGCCTGGAAATTGGAGTTTTCTGGTTGGGGGTTGAAAGAGGTTGCATCTGAGCATGGTGGGGCCCGCACCTCATCGCTTCGGAGTTATACAAAGAACAGAGCAGACAGAGAGACCTGCGGAGTGGGGAGAGGCGCTGCAAAGACGGGTGCACATGGCAGAGACACCTAGGAGCCGGGAGGCCCCAAGACTGCAGCGGGTGCTAGAAGCTGCAATAGACAAGGAATGGCCTGTGCCTGGCCCTGGTCTGAGCGTCTCATCTCCCCGGTGAGGAGCCAACGGCAGCTGGAAAAGCTACTGGTGGGGGGCTTTGTGTCCAGGACGGCAGCTCAGGGACGAGCCGGGGTCTGTGCTCCTTTTCCCGGACCGTTTGCATATTCACAGAACGTCACAGTAGCAACTAACTACTCACAGAACCAGCTGGTTTCCAGACAAGGAGACATCCCACCACAAGCCCACCCTCCCAGCCCCATGGCACTGCCAGTCTGAGCTGGGATCCACGAATAACCATGGCACTGAGGGGTTCCATGCTGGGATATATGGAGGAAGGAAACACCTGAATTCCGTACAAAGCATCTTGGGCAGACAAAAGTATTCCTTTCACCTGTACTAAAGAAAGGTCGGGGGCCCTGTGGTACAGTGATGACTCACTGGGCTTCAATCTGCATGGTCGGCAGTTTGAAACCACCAGCAGCGCTGAGGAGAAAGACTGGGCTTGTTACTCCCATCAGCAGTTACAGTCTCGGAAACCCACAGGAGGTTGCTGTGAGTCAGCACTCACTGATGGCAGTGAGTTTGGGTTTGGGTTTTGTTTTTGTTTTTTGTAAAGAATGGTTGCATTTTACTGGCTATGCAAAAGCTATGGACAATAACCAACTATAGATGATATTGCAAGAAATCTGCATCCCAGAGCACTTAATTGTGCTTTTCCCAAACCTGTCCATAGACGAAGAGGCAGGCATTTAAACAAGACAGAGTTTAAAATCAGGCAAAGGGTGCATCGGGGTTGTAGCCTCACCATAGTTATTCGTTTTGCATGCTAAGCATGTACTCTGGGACGTTGGACTCTATGGAGAACATGGCACAGGGACTGAAGGAAGGTTCACTGACAACTTGCGGTATAGAGATGATCTGACCTTGCTGGCTGCAATCAAAGGCTTCACGGCACCTGCTGATGAAGATACACACTACAGCCTTCAGTATGGATTAACACGCACCTAAGGAAAGCAGAAGTCCTCACAGCCAGACCAAAGAGCCACATCATGATAAATGGAGGAAAGATTCAAGTTGTCAAGAATTTCATTTAGCTTGGACACATAACGAATGTACTTGGAAGAAGCAGTCGAGGAAACAAATGACGTACTGCACTGGGCAAATCTGCTGGGAAAGCTCTCTGTACAGATGTAGAGAGCCAACATGCCACTTTGAAGACTAAGACCCACCGGAATCAAGCCAGAGTATTTTCTCTTGCCTCCTATGCCCACGAAAGCTGGAGAATGTATAAGACACACTGGCAGATCGTTGGCCTTTGAAACACACTGGCATTTGAATTACGGTTGTGGCAAAGAGCATTGAATCTGCCACAGACTGGCAGAAGAACAGGCAACTCTATATTTGAGAAAATACAGCCAGAATGCTCCTTAGAAGTAGGGATGGCAAGATTTCATCTCACATACTTTCTAGAGAAGATAATTTGAATTAAAAAAAATTTTTTTTAAATGAATCCCCAAGAAGCTCAAGCAAGCCCATGCAGGATAAATGCAAAACAACCCACACAGAGATGCATCATAGGAGAAATGCTAAAGCACAAAGACAGAAGTCTTGCAAAAGAAAATGATTTCTTCTGTATGACTCAGCCCCAATAGGCTAACAGCTGACGTCCCAGCAGAAACAACAGAGGCCAGAAAGCAGTGGGAGGGCACCTTGCAAGTGCTTTTAGAAGTACTTTATAAGAAACAAAGTAATTTTTTTCTATATATCTTTACTGAACAAAGTAAAGATATAAGAGAGGGGGGAGAGAATGAGAGGGAAGGATGGAGAGAAAGACAGAGGGAGAAATGGAGGGAGGGAGGATGGAAAAGAGATAGAAACAGGAAGGGAGAGACAGAGAGAGAGAGAGAACAAGCAAGCTTGTCAAACAGGATCATTAGACTCAAGACAATGATCTTTCAAAATTGTCTAAAGACACTCCCAGATAAACGAAAACTGAGAAAGTTCACTGTTAGCATCCCACCTAATGGGAAACAAAATGCTCAGGGAAATTTTTCAGGCTGTAGCCATCCCTGATGATCATTTAGACCCACACATAAAAACAAAGAGTACCAGCAAAGATAATCATGCAAATGCAAATAACCACATCAAGGAGTATGCCTTCTCCAGTCCTCTCCTAACTGATTGGAAATGCAGTTATACAAAACAATAGGCACATAACTGCATCATTGGGTCTATAAAATAAAGGACTGTCATGTATTTACCAATAAAACCAAGGAGGCAAATGGAAACAAAGCCATACTGGGATATAGAAATGATAGAAACGAAGTTTGAGTTTATAGGAACAAATGAAAATAACCTAAAAGGGTCAAAAAGAAGGTTAGCCGGGCAAACACACACAGTCTCCTTAAAAGTACGTAAAGAAATCATTATAATCGCATATGACTGAATTGTAGCATCTGCAGATGAAATAGTCAGACTAAGATTAGCGTAAAGGGAAGAGAAACCTGAGTTGCGTAGGAGTCATATTTTTATATGTCACTTGAAATAAGTTACTATAAATGCAAAAGGATTTGAAAACAAACACAAGGCAGAGATTGTTAGATTGGATGAAAAAATAAGATCCACGTATAGGTCATCTCTAAGAAACACAGTGTAGATTCAAATGTAAAAGTAGATTAAAAGGAAAAGACATAGCATGCAAAGAGAAACCATGAAAAAAGTGCAGTGACCACACTAATACTTGATGAAATAGCTATTGTAAATGTTAGTACAGAACAAGGGCAATTTTAAAAGATGAAAAGATTAATCATAAGAAAGCTATAATAATTATTAACATATATTTGCTGATGAAAATCAAAGACCACATTATTCAGTAAGGACTGGAACTCAGTGTAAAGACAACCCAATTTCTCACAATGGGAACGATAGATAACGTCATGACAAACCGAAAAGTTTAAAGCTGACAAGAATTTTATTTTGCTTGAATCTATAATCAATGCTTATGGAAGAAGCAGTCAGAAAATCGAATGGCATATTGCATGGGGTAACCGTGCTGTACAGGAGCTCTTTAAAATGTTGACAAGCAAGGATACCACTTTGAAGGTCAAGGTGCGCCTGACCCAAGCCATGGCATTTCCCATTGCCTCACATGCACGTGAAACTTGGACACTGAGCAGAGAAGGCTGAATAAGAACGGATGCATTTGAATTACGGTGCTGGCAAAGGCTATTGAAAGTACTATAGACTGCCAAAAGATCTTTCTTGGAAGACGTACAGCCACGCTCCTTAGAAGGGAGGGTGGTGAGATTTTGTCTCAAGTACTTTGGACAAGTTAACAGGAAAGACCAGTCTCTGGTAAAGGACATGGTACTTGGTAAAGTCGAGACAAGGTGGACTGACACAGTGGCTGTAACAATGGCCTCAAACATAGCAACAATTGTAAGGATGGCGGAGGCCCAGCCAGTACGATGGAACACAGCGTCACGATGAGCCAGAAGCCGCTGGACAACACCTAACAACAACAATGTGCACCTAACAACCCCCCAAAATCAAACTCACTACCA